ATGACAGCTGCATTTGCATTAACTATTTCAGTACCTGAGCATTTTAGCAAAATATTCAAACCATGAGCATTTACTAGATGTAGTTGCCTATCAGTTCTCTCTGATAATGACCTCCAGTTCAAAAGGTAACTTTCAGCTTCCATCCTGTTAACTTCTGATGCTGTTTTCAGTTGCCAGTATACATTGGCATGTTAGAAACTGAAAATGTAGGTAAATACATTTAATCTAATATTGAAAAAATACAGAGTTTTCCTGTATTGATTCTATTGCTTATTTTCCTAGTTAGGATGGTAGAAGTTCTTGCTCCCTTCATGTAGACTATGGAGAAGGTATGCTAGGTCAGCAGCAGCTCTTTCTGAGGGCTTCCCCTGGAGCACATCTGATCTGTACTCGATTGCATGCCCAGAGCTACAGCTGAGGAGCCTTTCAGTACCACTTTCCTAGTCATGGTCAGTGAATTACTATATGAAGAATACAAATAACTGAATATTCATTTGGCTGTGGGGACAATTTTGCACCTTTAGAACTTGAGATGCAGCTGAATTTCAGATAAAACACAGAAACTTAAGAATTATATCATTCAGAATCAGAGATAACTTTCTTCAAAGTTAAGATTGTTTTTCCATTTGAACAACTATCTTGCTTTATAACTTTATCTACAACCAAATTTAAGACCTGTACATAAGTCTAAGCATTATTTCTGGAAAAAGTAGAATGTGAAGTGTTTGCGATAGGAGGTGTTAGTATATCCAGTTGAAATTTCATACAATTGCATGGAATATTTCTCTGTTTTCTTTTCAGTGCTATCAGCCATTGGACAATAGGATAAAAATACAGAAACAGACATATACTTGAAAGCTAACAGTCTTATTTGCAACTTATTTTTACTTAACGCTACCACCATAGTCTCCATTGTTTGGTGCTGGAGTCATATAGTCTGTTGATGTACAGATAATGTCACAGTCCCAACGTAATAGCTTTCTGTTTATAGCATATTGAAAGAACAATTGTTAGGAAATGAAAACTTCAGAAAAGCCTGAGCCCTGAGATAAAATAATGCAAATACCTTATTTACCCGTATCTCGTTAGAATCCAAAAAGCAAGTTATGAAAGCACCTCTATCAACTTAGTTGCAGTCTAAGAACTCTCACACTTTTAAGGAGAGTGAGAAGAGCACCCCACAAGAGAGAGAAACTAAGAAAGAAAACTCAATAGAAGAGGATGTCAAGACTAAGTAGAGAAGAGGAGGAAAGAGCAGCTCACTGTAGACTGCAGTAGCCAGTAGAGTAGGGATGGGGTCAGAGGAGAGAGGAAAAGAGACTGGGAAGAATAAAATGCTTAACCGTTATTTGTCCAAGGATAATGCTGGGGTAAAATATGTAACTGTTAGTGAGATTCTGACAGATTTACAAGCATCAGACCAAACTGACTCACTTGCTATCAGCTGTGACTATATAAAACATGCTGCTCCAACTAAATTGGCAAAAGGAAATAAAAAATGAATGGTTTGCACATAAAGAGCTAAATTTTATGTTGATTCACCATATGTCCTCTGCCACCTCAGAGAAATAAAGATCTGAAGAGCGTAAATATGCAAAAAATGTTGGCCAGGTTGTGCATTTTTAATATTTCCTAGTTCTTCCATAAGTACAACACTCTTGCAGCATGTCTGACTGCTCTCCACTGCATTGGTTGCAGAATTCCACTGCTGGCAGACAGCAAAATAAAGATCATTTATGGGTCCCTTTTTCTTCTTTTTGGAGCACGGGATTTACACAGAGAAAGGCAAGTCAGCTTGTTGATATTAATTCAATTAGAAGACCGCTTCCAGGGAATATGCTTAGCTCGCAAACCTGTGGACTTGGGACTGTCTTTTGTTCTGTGTTAGTGCCAGGTGGCCTTGGTCTCTAAACAGGAGTTCTGGTTGCACTAATAATAAATAATCTTTAAAGATTATAGTAATTCTTGATTTGGAGGTGACAAAGAGGTGCAGAAAGTAAGCCAGTCATTTATAAAAATTCAGCCTAGGCTGGCTTAGCCTTTTCAGTGCTGTGAGCCAAATGTCAGCTTTGGGGCACCTCTGTAAGCTGATCTCTGGAGCTCCATCAGAGCAGGGTTCTCCTCCGACACAGGTGGGCTGACAGTTTACAGAGTAAGTGTTTGGGCATGTGGAGGTGCTCGGGGAGGTAATATGCCAGCTGACACAGTCCTGGCAGCCAGCTCTGACTCATGAGCTGCTGCTTTGATCTGGCCTTTTCATTGCACTCATGACAGCTGCTCCATTTTTTTCAAACATGTTGATAAATTTCTCATTTTCCCCTGTATTTGTGTAACTCGTGTAATTGCTATAAAGTGACTTGAGAGTTCTCTAAGTGTTCCATAATCCGTGCTTGGGAGTTGTGTCATCTTGATTAGGTGTGATCATGTAAGGTCTTCTGATTAAGGTTTTGTTTCTGTTCCTTGGCTGAATGAGAACTGAGACACTTAGGGCAGAAGCGTAGATGCCAGCAGCATTGCCTTCCTGCCCACTCTATCAGGGCAAATGCCACATGTTCAGGTGGAATCTCCTAAAACAAATCTTCAGCGGACAAGCTTTCAGTACAAACAGGCAGTGGAATATTAATTACGAGTCAGTATGAATGAAATAGGTGTCAGTCATATACTGTAGGCAGTCACTTACTAGAGAAATGCACAAATATGTAGCACTCAATTGTTGGTTTGCTCTCGTGTAAGAATAACACCACAGTTGAGCTACAGTCTTCACGTTAGCACACAAAAGACATGCAATAGGGTCAAGTAATACACATATACATACAAATTATATTATATTGCAAAAATTATGTTTCTGTTTCTCTTTGAATTGATGATTTAAAAAAATAGTAAGGGCCCAGGAATTTGCAAGGAAATTCCATTGTATAGTGTGCAAGTTGTGTACATTTTGGAAACATAGTAGTAAACTGTAAGGCTGAATACAGACCCTTTTTTTATTACAAAGTGATGAAGGGCCAAAATCGGAGCAAGAAGAAGCGACCCTTATAAAGGGGGGCACATAATTCATAATTCATTCTAAGGTGTGTGTAGAAAACTGAGGATTAGCCTGAACAGCCAGGAAAAGCTGGACCACACACAAGGTTCAAAGATGGAAAGAGCAAGCTACCTTCACTCAGAATCTATGGAAAAAACATTAGCAATACCTTCATCTACTTGTGGAATGAAATCTACTATTTCATTCATACTGACTCGTAATTAATATTCCACTGCCTGTTTGTACTGAAAGCTTGTCCGCTGAAGATTTGTTTTAGGAGATTCCACCTGAACATGTGGCATTTGCCCTGATAGAGTGGGCAGGAAGGCATCATGCTAATTTGCTGTGCTCTGCTCCACCTCTTAAACCACAAGTATCGGTTTAAAGTTGCTGCAGTCGCTCTCAAAAGCCTGTGTGGCACTGGTTGTCCTTTTTTTTGGAGTTATGCTCTGACAAGTTGTTCCAACAAGCATGAGACTTCAGGGGAGCGCCTGGCCAAGGTCACTGTTCCCATGTCTCAAGAAGGACATGAGGCCATGAACTTCACAGCTGTCAGAGGTAAAAACATGCCTTGCCTCCCCAGCCAACTGCCTCCAGTCTTACTCTCATCTCACGTGAATGTGAAGAAATGTAATCAAGCCCGTTTATCACCAAAGGAAGGAAAGAAAAAAGCCCCTACTTGTGGTCAAAGGGAGCAATCGGGTAACACATTCTGGGATCTAAGACGACAAGACCTAAGAAGAGAGTTACTTGTGTACTTGACCTGAGTGGTTAACCAAAAATCAGCCTTGCAAGAGTATGTTGTTGTAGTAAGAAATTGCTGATGGAATCAGGTAATTGTTTGATGCTGTTATGATTCTTTTCAAAGACTGCACAGACAGTCCTGATCCCTGAACACAGCAGAAATGTGACAGCAAGGAACAGTACTTCTTTCTGTATCTCCAAGTCCTTTACTAGCCCTTTCTATTCCCTGTAAAAAGGGAATTCCTTTAACATAAAAGTCACTTTTACGCAGTCACTAAGCCTGCCGTACAGTTCATTTTCCTACTGCATATGTTTGACATCTGTAAGAAATATTGTTGTACATGGTTTGAATATATAGGCCACCACTCGAGCCGTGCAGAAAATCTGGAGGAGATGGCAGAAGCTCAAGACATCTGAACAGAACTTTTACTGTTAGACACGTACGTGGGGTTTCAACCAGAATGATCCTGATTAGCTAAAAAAGAAAAAAAAAAAAAGATAAAGTGTTTCTGTCTTAAACATTTAATGGTGGGCTCATTCACTGCGTTATAGAGCGGAAGCAGTGGGACTGAACAGCAAATGTTTCAGCAGTGCAATTCCAGTCTCTCACATGTTTAAGTCTGGGAAAAATTCCATGATTTCTTCCTGTGCTCTGATACCTTAGGAACAATAGGAAATCATCAATTCCAATTTTAAATTTGTCAGTAACTTTCCTGTCTTCTAGTGTAAAGCAAATGAATCATCCTTTTTTTTTTCTAATATGCATCAGAAATTTAATCTATTAATTTGTAATGATCTCTTATTTAGGCAAATCATTTTCTATATGTAAATTTTATTCTTTATTTGAAAAAACACTTCCCTATTTTTAATTTTTTTAAATGATAAAAGAAAGACAATATAAAATTATTTAAAAAATTATAAAGTCAATATAAACCCAGACAGGACTACCAGACAGCTCTGCAGACCTCAAATCCCTGAGTAGGATTCTCTGTCCCGGCCTCAGAGCAGATTACAGGTGCAGTATTAAGGGCCAGTTCCCAAGGGTCTTTCCTCACACATAAATTAACTGGAAAGCAGTGGTGGGGGGTGAGGAAAGAAGTGGGTATCGGCAGTGTTAGGAGATCTGATCTGCTTCTATCTGGATGGAGTAGTTAAAGAACTGCTTAATGATTTAAATTTAAGGACACAGTCCTGTAAGGTACTGGATACTCTCAACACTTACTTATTTCAGTATTTTGTGAAGGAACTGAGGATCTGGAAGAAGAACACCTGAAATACAGAGTTGCACTGACATTGTGCCTGGATCCTGGTTTGCAGTCTAGCCTTGGGGCAGAGCAAACCCAAGGGGTCTCTGGTCAAGAAACTCAGGTGTGGGCTGAATATGATCCCAGACCAGAGCTCAGCTTTTACAGAGTAGCTCCAGCTCCCCAGGGCTTGGCTCACCTTGGCCACCCTGCTGCTGGGCTTTGGATACATCCTTAATGCTCCTGTACTTGGTCTCGATACCCACCTACCAGACCGGCCCTGTCCTCAGCGTCTCACTGTGAAGTCCACCGGCTGGTGGATTACATCTCTTCTCTCTCTTCTTTGGAGCTTATCTCTGGGAGTTGTGTTGGCTGCCCAGAAGGTGGGAATCTAGTGGGTGGAAGAGATGAAAGTCTCTGTCACTGTCTGGAAGGTTCTTTGGGTGATAAATTTTCTGTGGGAACAAAACCATGAAATCTCATTGTTCATGACAGATACGGTCTTCAAAGGTTGTCTGGCCACTGGAAATATAAAATAAAAAATAAAACCCCTAAATTGTTCTCCTAAGTTGCCCAGGACCTGAAATAGTCCTCTTGGAGTCCAAGGAGTGTATTCCCTGTTGTGAGGGTTTTACGGAGATTGGCTGTTAAGCCATATCCCATCTCTGGTGGTTTACTGTTTAAAGAGATATCTGGCAGATTTCTGCCTTCTCTAGCCACCCCAGAGCAGTTTCAGCAATGCTTTCAAAATGGTGTGAGTGCCAGAGGTGATACAAAAGTGTATTGGCTGCTAAGCTCAGGTTTGTTCCTGCCAAAATATGGCATGGATACAACCAGAGTAAGCAGAGACAACTTGAGGTGATGGTTTACAGGCACCTGATCTTTGCCATTTGGCTCAGCACACCTAAGCCTGAATGCAGCTGTGGTTACTAAACACTGTGGATGTAGCCAGAAGGACTGTATTCAGCTGAAAGTGGGTGGAATCACCGTTATCAGCCCTGCCAATGGCTTTTTTCCACTTTTCTGGTCTAATGCTACCCATCCCAATTCTCTTTCATGGGATGGGGAAGACGAGGCAGAGAAACTGTCAGCAAAACAGCATAGATGCCCCATATTCTTAAGCTTCCATGCCAGACCTCTTATTTTTCACAAGGTGCCTGTTTTTACAGGTGAAATGTATTGATTCCTCTGCTTTGGGAAGGGTCTTTTAGGCAACTAACAAAGGAGGCTGTTAATTACAAAGAGGTAGTTCTATAGGGCATACTTTGCAGGGTGTAGGTGAGAACTGTCTTTTCTCAAGCAATTTCTAGCTCCATTAATTTCAAACCTCTAATCTAACAGCGTCCTGTGGAGTGTCAGTCAGAGATGGAGATGGACGTGGAGGTGGAGGTGGAGTCAGAGTCCTCCCCAGACCATGAGGAGGTGGCTCTGTTCAGTGCGATAGGCTGTCCCAGGGGTTGTGTGGAGATTGATCTGGGAGGTGAGCAAGACTGGGAGGTGAGTCACATTTGCTAGTCAGACTAGCAAGTCTTTACTTTTTTTTTTAGCACAGAGAAGAAAAGAGTAAAGAGGGAGGGAGAGAGAGGAGACGAGGAGGAAAAATGGGGAAAGATGGCAAGGAAGCACTGATCAGGTCGACATCTGTGCTTCTGCAGCGGGCTGGGCTCTCCAGTGTCAGTTTGCCAGCGTCTGTAAAACCGTGTTACATCTTTTGCTTAATTTTTAAAGTAGGTTCTAATTATTTATCATGTTTTTGATAGATCAGAAAGTAGTGGTGGTGTTATAAAAACTCTGGAAAGAGTAAGCAAATTAAAACGAGACAGCTGTTCCAGGCTTTTCCAGCCTCCCAAGAAGACTGCTTGGACTGCAGCACAATGCACACTGCTTTTCACTGGCATGGGTCCACTATTTGTGTCACAGCCAGACAGCTTGCATTAGAGTTTGGCCCGAATGTGAAAAAGCCCTGTTATTTGAATTTAATTGAGAAATATGGCGTCACAATTCGGGTTTTAAATCTTTTTAATTAGTAAAAGGTTAGGACAGAAAATTCAGTATAGCTGTTACTGCTGAATCTGGCCAGGG